CGACTCCATTCTCTAAAATCAACTGCTTTTTCTTTTGTTTTTAATCACCTTGAGTTTAATCTACTTACAACAAAATACTCGCGTGTATAGTTTGAGGAGTTTTAAGATGTATGCACCACCTAACCATCTCCCTCTCAAGGTGCAGGCCACTCTCATCATAGTTCCCATCTGCTCCTTCCTCCCTCTTCCCCTCCCTCCCAGGGCTTTGCTTTCCAGCACACTGTAGGTTACTTCCGACTTTTCTCAAACTTCATTTAGGGAAAATGAAATGTCACCCTTTATATCCATTTAAGTTTAAAGTTTTGGAATGTATGGTATACAGATCATTCTCCCCCGTGCAAGTAAATCATATGTAAGCCTAGTATCAGAAAATGAGTCGGAAATCCTGAAGTAATGTAGTCTGTATGTGTACACATATATATTTCAGTCTGTCTTTCTCACCTTAAGTGTTATAAGTCACCAGTAAACCATGGGGCTAGGGTTTTCTCTGTTGAAATACTAAGAAGTCACTTTCTTCAGTGTGGATTCAGAGCTATTTAGCTTTTCAGTGGGATTTTCTTTATTTTTTATACTAGGCAGCTTAGGTCTTTTTCAAGCAGTTTACCCATTTTATCAAGGTTGTTCCATAGTTTGTGGTATATGTCAGAATCTACCCAGCAGCATCTAGCAACTGTTAGCTGATTTTTCCTTTTTTTTTTTCTGATTGTGTGACTATCAGAGTCAGAGTACCAGACCGGTTAGAAGTTTATCCATTTTATTGAGCTTTTCTAAGAACCAACTTTTGGTTCAGTGTTTTGGTTTTTTTCTCTTATTGCTTTCCGGTTTTCTGTTTCATTGGGTCTCTCATTTTTTCCCTTTCACATATATGAGTTTAATTTGTTCATTTTGAAGCAGAAACTTAGATAATTGATTTTGGACCTTGTCTGCTACAGTCATTAAAATCTATAATTTTCCCTTTAAGCGTTTTTCTACATCCTGTAAGTTTTATTGTATTTTCATTCAGTGGATATTTCCTGATTTCCCTGTGGTTTCCTCCTTTAATAGATGGGTTATTTAGAAATGTGTTGTTTAATTTTCAAATATTTGAGTCTTCTAGTTAGCATTGCTATTGATTTCCAACCTGTATCGTGTGATCAGAGAATGCACATTGCATGATTTCAAACCCTGAACAGTAAATTATTAAAACTTCATCACAATCACTTGGTAAACTTGCTGAATGTTTCAGGTGCACTTAAAGTATGCTGTTCACAAGTATTATGTTAGGTCACATGGTTCAAGCCACTTATTTTTACTTTGTGTGTGTGTGTGTGTGTCTTTGCCTTGTCAATTACTGAGAAAATACTGAAATCGATCACCAATTATAATTGTGGACTTGTCTATTTCTCCTTTCAGTTCTGTCAGATTTTTCTCTGTGTGTTTTGGAACTCTTGTTAGGTACACACATTTAGCATTTTCCTGTCTTGGTGCAGAATTGGCCTTTTAATTATTATTGAACGTCCCTTTTTATCTTTGACACGATTCCTTGTCCTGAAGTCTATTTTGTCTGATTTTAATAATATTTGTCTTTTCCCATTTTTTTTTTTACTTGTAGACAGCAAATATTAGCTCCTCATTCTGGTGGTTCCTGGGTAGTACAAATTGTTTATTCTCAGCTACTGACCTGGAGGTTGGTGATTTCACTCACCTGTTGGTACCACGAAGTGTCGTTGAGGACTATAGTGAGTTATGTATTGGGCTGCTAACTGCAAGGTCAGAGTTAGAAAGCTCCAGCTGCTTCCCTGGAGAAAGATGAGGCTTTCTGCTCCCATTCAGGTTTTGCAGCCCAGCCTTAGGGATACACAGGGGCAGTGGGACTCAGCTTTACGGGTCTGTGTAGTGGGAGCTGGCAGTGCACTAAGTACGTTAGCACCACAGAAGAAAGGTCTGATGATCCACTTCATGAAGATTTTAAAAAACAAGTCAAACCTATGGCCGAGATGAATCCGATCGAGGTTCTAAGGAGGCTACTTTTTAGGGGCTCTGCTCTGTAACCTGCGGGGTCTCCATGAGTTGGAACTTAACTTGATGGCACAAGGTGTGGTTTTATTTGTTTGGTCTATATTGCCTTTTCCTCTGCCACTCCCCACCCCCTTTAAGAGTAGAAACATTTTTTATTTAGATAAATGTGTCAGGTCACAGGGGGTCTAGAGTCATAAATTTCTACCTGGTTATAAAATTTAAAGGGACCCCCCCCAAAAAAAAAATCACTCACCAAAATAAGTAATTTTATAATGCAATATTTTTAAAGATTAGAAACTCCTCCATGGAAAGCATCAAATTTGAAATAAGAACAGACTCAAACTTAACTTGCTTTGTCCTAACCCAGATCCTCTTGAATCCTATATTTAATAATTTACACATAATTTTGTGGTGTTTTTTCCCCTCCTATTTTACATTGTGAGTGGATCTTTTACCTATATATATATTTTAATACAGAGTTGTGCAGATCTAAAGTATTGGCATATTTCCTTTGATATAAAAAATGGGGACTTACTACTATTGTAACTGGCAGCATCAGCAAACTCTTTTTAAGTATTGGTAAGCTTATGATGGTGCCTCCCTTTGCTGAAGTTCTGGTTTTCCCTTGAAAACTGTAGTTTTAAAACAGAAAAGAAAACTAGTTTTCTTGCTGGCAACAACTATTAGTTGTTTTCCTGGAAAACAGTTTCACTTTGTTTTCCTTTTTAAAAAAAATCATTTTATTGGGAGCTCGTACAACTCATCCCAATCCATCCATCCATTGTGTCAGGCACATTTGTACATTGGTTGCCATCATCATTCTCAAAACATTTTCTTCTACTTGAGCCCTTGGTATCAGCTCCTCATTTTTCCCCTCCCTCCCTGTCCCCCCACTTTGTTTACTCTTAAGAAAATATCAGTTAAATTGCCAAATCTGAATAATGATAGTTGGCCATTTGCTCTTTCAGGTAAAATTGCGCTTCATGCTAACAGTTACCGAGAACATTAAACATGTGTGTCCCCGGGGGTGGGATAAGTCATTTTCAGTGCTTCCTCAAGGACATTCCAGAGGAACTGATCTACCCCTGGCCTTCGCACACTCAAGTTCAAGGCAGTGATGAGTCCTCGCATGGTAGCTGTGCTAGGCACTGGTCACTTACCCCACCATGTCTTACATCCCCAGGGCCGTGTCGCCACAGGTGTCCCAGGACAAACCAGGAATTTTCAGAGAATCATCACACCACTCTATTTTGGAGTCCAACGTTCACATGGAGGGAGATGCTGCCTGGGGATTAGTTGGTGTTGGTACCAGGTGCATACCACAAAACCCTGGCAAGGTCAGCCAGGGCTGTGGAGTCATCTGTGTGTAACACACGTCACATTCTGTTGACGGTACCGCAGCTCCTATGTTCGTGACGTAGCGGCTCTTAACTTCAAGTTCCATGAGCATAGACGAGTTGCTGTGTTATTGGAACATGACACGGTTTTCCTCTAGCGGGCCGGTGGTCAACAGTGCTGCCATCAGACGGTCTGACTCGTCTCTCAGCCAATTTTTATTGTCTTGGGCGAATGAGAGGGAACGGAACAAAGTCTTGTTATGATGAAAGCAGTTTTGATTTTATGGACTGTCTACAAGGTCTTGGGCCCGTAGGAGTCCTCAGATTGCAGTTTGAGAAGTGCTCTCCTAAGGTTTTATTGTGTCTGGTGATTTTGATTTTTATTAGATGATGGCTAGTATGTCACATTATCCAGTGTCTGGATTGTGTGTATTTCTTTAAAAAGTTTGGAACTCTTCTAGCAGGCTCCTAATTGACTCGCTGGGTCAGTGTGTTCCATTTGAGATGGTGGATCTGGATTAGCTCTGACTTCCTCGTTTGTTCAGTCCCACTTCTCAGGCACAGCTTTCCTGGAGTCTCTGCTCAGTGACTTCTTGCCCCTGCAGCTGGGCAGCACCTAGACATATATATATATATATGCCAGCTGTGTGAGCGCTGCTAACTGTTCAGTTCCTGGAAAGGTTTTGCCTGGCCTTTTGGAGCCTCATTCTAAATTGTGTATGCAAAAGTTAGCAGTTGGCGGAGGCTCAAGGTGACCCTTGCATAGTTTATTGGCGCTCAGCCTGTGTAGCTCTCTCTTCTCTGGTATCCCGCATCCACAAAATTCAAACTCTTGCCTCCTTCAACTCTGTTCTGTGCCTTGAAGCAACAGGACTTCTGAGTTCTGTGCGGCCCCTCCCTCCCTGAACTGCCCTCAGGACAGCTGCAGAATGCCAGCGTGCTTGGGGGGCTCCCCTCTCTTCCCTCCCTCTCTCAGGGATCACGAGCATGCGCTACAGGTCGCATGGAATTTGAAACAGCTCATGTTTTTGTCCCAATTTTGTTAGTATGGTCAGACGGGCTAATAGGATGTTTATTTCAACATGGCAAGAAGCACAAGTTGGACAGACCTAGTTTTTTAACGATCATTATTTTTGAGTTTTCTGATTGTTACCTGCTGCTGAGTTGGCCTCAGCTCATGGTTGCCCAGGCACAACAGAATACAAAGCTGCCCTGTCCTGTCCCTCCCCACCCCATGAATGGTTGTGGATCAGACCATTGTGGTCCATTGGATTTTCCCTGGCTGATGGTTACAAACAGGTTGCCAGGCCTTTCTTCATAACGACTTAGCCTGGCATCTGCTGAGACCCGTTTGGCCTCATACTAACACATAGCCCTCTGCTGACAAGACAGCTGGTGGCTGACCTTGATACCCTAGACTCCCCCGGGGGAGATGGGCTTTTCCCACGGGGGCATCACTGCCCTCAGTTTTTCTCATGGTCACCTCCAAGTGCTGACCTTTAAGAAAACTAACTAGAAAGCTAATTGCCAGTTACTCTGTTTTACAAAAGCAGATTTTAAAACTGTTGAGTGAGTGATGAGATTTAAAACTCACCATGTGCACGCGGATGATGCTGCGGGAGAGCCAAGTGCCTATCTCACAAGAATCGATTTTTGCTCTTTCAGGCCATCATGCAGCAGGGAGATACATCCATAAAACCTGTCCTCCAAGTCATTGTGAGTACCTGTGTGTGTGTGTGTGTGTGTGTGTGTGTGTTCATGGCAAACGTTTTAAAAACAGTTTTCACTGGAAATTGTGTTTTGATGAAGGGCATATGGATTTGCTAGCTTTAGGAAATTCTTCTGTTGTCACAAAGACACATTCAATCTACATTGTAGTCCGATAGAGGAGGCAGACTGTAAAAAAATGTTAGCCAGAGTTAGACCTTGAGAGGTTCAGCTCGAAGGCACTGCCTGCCTTGCTTTTCTTTCCACAGTTGATGGATGCTGTGGCATCCTGACAATTGCCTCCTAATTGGCCTTCCTGCCCTTAGGTTTGTCTCCTCCAATTCTACCTTTTATACAGCAGAGAGAGAGAGCGCACTAAAATGCACCACTTTGCTTAAAATTTTTCACTCACATCGTTCACTTAAAAGAGTTCTCAAACTTATTGGCAATTAAATGAAAGAAAAAAAAAAACCCACAAAACCAAGCAGAATCCTGATGGTACTTTCAGATAGCCCGAGGAAGGGGCCTGATAGTGTCCTCATTGGGCCCAGCTCACTCCTAGTCCCCTTCTATTTTTAGGCAGTATTTCACTTCTTTCAGAAATCATTTTCTGACCACCTGCAAAGTGGGATAAATGTCTTGCCTCTCTCTGGCACCTCTGTCTCCATACCCAAACTGACTATAAGCCCCGTCAGGATAAGAATTGGGTGGCTCATTTTGTATTTCAGCCTCTCCTACCCAACACCTTGCTTATAACAGGTACATTATTGTCTGTACTTGGGGGTGGGGGGGCTTTCAGTCAAGTTTGAGTTAGAGAAGAAAGAACCAGAAGTATTGGCACCTGATCTTCTGATCTGCAAAGTGTGAGTGGAGGGAGGTTGTATGGGAGAATCGTCACATTTTTGTTCTCTTTCACTGGGACATAGGTGGCATGAGAATGGGCGGGCAGCTCAGTTTGCGTTGAGCTAACGCCAGACCCGCTCCCCTGCCGCTTAGGTTTACTGCCCCCTGGCACTAGGCAGATGACCTGCTTAACGAATCCCATTTTCTGTCCTAGAACATCCGTCCCATTGTCACGGGGAACAGTCCCCCCCGCTACCGGCTGCTGATGAGCGACGGCGTGAATACCCTGTCCTGTGAGTACGCCCCGTGAACGAGGGGCTTGTGAGTATTTCAGCCCGACCAGCCCCCTCACACGTGGAGTCGCGGGGATTTGGGACATTCCAACAGCCTTAGATTCGCTTGGCTCTGCAGTTCATTCAGGCAGGATTGCAGCTAACAATAGACTGCATAGGGTGGAAGCTGCCACTTGGCTTAATTAATTTTCTCTAACTGGTGCTCCCTGTTTTTTCTGATTAATTTCCCTCAGGGTGATATTGACATTCCGTGGATATGATGGGTTAGCTGTCCTATACTTGCCTTTGTGGGGGTTTATTTTTATTTCTGTGTTTGATGCTTTAAAAGAGGAGAAAGGAAGGAATTGGCAGAATAGGTGCTTACTAGCCATCTCTAGTCACAATGTGAAATGCTTCCTGTAGTCCTCCTCCCCTGGCCCCAGGCATGAACTCTAAATGGTAGAAAAAATTGTTTTGGGCACTTTAAGAAATACAAGGGGGGTTCAAAAGAGTTTGTGGGAAAACTCCATTATTTCTTGATTCTGCTTTTCCGTGAACTTTTTGAAGCTCCATCGTACATGACATTTAAGACCAGCAGCAGCTGTTTAATACACGGGAACCGCCGTGTGTCCCCTTACCCAGGGTATGACTGGGTTTGAGCTCCGGGACGGCCTAAAAGGCATGCCGTTCCCGTGCCAGCACTGGTGTGATTGACTGTCCGGTGCCGAGGGCACAGAGGCTTGGCGGCTAACATGCTCTCTCTGCCTTCCAGCGTTCATGTTGGCCACACAGTTGAACCCTCTAGTGGAAGAAGAACAGTTGTCCAGCAACTGTATTTGCCAGATTAACCGGTTTATTGTGAACACGCTCAGAGATGGAAGGTATGTGATGTGTTTTCTCGTACTTTCTTCAGGCATAGAACAAGAGCTCTGATTTTTAGAAAGGGAAGTTCCTTGCATGCCAAAGTTCAATTTGGTATCAAGAAGGCAATGTTGAACTTTGAGAAATGTGTGAC